AGATATGGAGGCAGTGACAGATTTTACTTTCTTGGGCTTCATGATCACTGTAGATGGTGACAGCACTGAAATTAAAAGACGCCTGCTTCTTGGGAGGAAAGCGATGACAAAACTCGAGTGCATCTTAAAAAGCAGAGACATCACCTTGCCGACAAAGGTCCGCACAGTCAAAGCTTTTTTTTTTTTCAGTAGCGATGTATGTAAGTGAGAGCTGAACCATAAAGAAGGGTCACCGCTGAAGAATTGATGCTTTTGAATTGTGGTGCTGGAGGAGACTCTTGAGAGTCCCCTGGACTGCAAGGAGATCAAACCTATCCATTTCGAAGGAAATCAACCCTGAGTGCTCAATGGAAGGACAGATCCTGAAACTGAGGCTCCAATACTTTGGCCATCTCATGAGAAGAGAAATCTCCCTGGAAAAGGCCCTGATGCTGGGAAAGATTGAAGGCAAGAGAAGGGGACGCCAGAGGATGAGATGGTTGGATAGTTTCTTCGAAGTTACCAACATGAATTTGACCCAAATTCGGGAGGCAGTGGAAGACAGTAGGGCTTGGCATGCTGTGGTCCATGGGGTTATGAAGAGTTGGACACAAGAGCTAAACAACAACAAATTATCCACTCTTTCTGGCATCTGGGGATACTGCTTTCTTCGAAGTTACCAACATGAATTTGACCCAAATTCGGGAGGCAGTGGAAGACGGTAGGGCTTGGCATGCTGTGGTCCATGGGGTTATGAAGAGTTGGACACAAGAGCTAAACAACAACAAATTATCCACTCTTTCTGGCATCTGGGGATACTGCAGTCCTACTATACTTTAATGCTCCACTTAATCTATCTTTTTACCAGTAACTATGCATTGATACTACAAAATGTTCATTTTTCATACTAGACCTGAGAACGAAGACAATGATTTGTGTTGAGTCTTAATTTATAAAACCTTGATTTGTACAGAGAGTACGTATGATGGTATTGGATTTCTTATAAAATACTCTTGATCATTATTTTTCCCCTTTGATATTTGTTTATATACATGAAGTACCTTTCTCTAAATTTTCTTACAAAACTTTACAGCTGGCTTTTCTTAGAATCATAGAATCATGGAATATCTGAGTTGGAAGGGGCTTATAAGGCCATCAAGTCCAACTCCCTGCTCAATGCAGGAATCCAAATCAAAGCAGATCTGAATTTTTAAATTTTCTTCCTCTCTTCCATCACCAGCTATTCCACCAAATTCTGTGTCATCAGCAAATATGATAAGAATTCCCTGCACCCACTCATCCAAGTCATTAGCAAAATTGTTGAAGACCATTGGGACTATTCCTCTATTCATTTATATGAGCTCTCTGACAAGTCACCTAAACAGCAGCATCTTTTGGAAATTCCTTTTCCAATTATTCAAGGACACAACAGTTGACAGCTGCTCTAGTCAGACCTAAAAAACAAATTCTTCTCTACTGCAAACATGATTCAAATTCAAACTTACATTTCGTGGTCTGATTGGAATTCGCTGGTGATTCAGGTTCATTCCTGGGATAATGACTGACATTTTCCTGGGCCCTTTGAATCCTAACACATTGGTTTCCTTTTGAAAAACAGACTCCTCTCATCCGGGATATCAGCTCTTTAAACTATTACCATCAGGAAGGAGATTCAGGGTATTGAAAGCAAGGACAAGCAGATTCAAGAACAGTTTTTACCCAAGTGCAGTATTGAGTTTAAATGCGGGGCCATAAGTTTTTGGTGGACTTTTTAATTGCTGAGAGAAAACGGGGTATCTATATTTGGATGGTGAAAGTTTTTTTTGTAGTGTTGTCCAGTTTTACCTTGGGGAAGAGCACCTCATTTCGTTGCACCCACTTGTGAGCGCAATGACAAATAAATTTCTTATGTCTTATGTCTTATGTCTTATGATTCAAATTCAAACTTACATTTCGTGGTCTGATTGGAATTCGCTGGTGATTCAGGTTCATTCCTGGGATAATGACTGACATTTTCCTGGGCCCTTTGAATCCTAACACATTGGTTTCCTTTTGAAAAACGAAGTTGCAATTAAAGGAAAGAGAATAAGATTAACTTTACACATACAATCTTTTGTGGATTAAAAGAATGATCTGCTACAAACACTTGGGCGGGCTTTCATGAAAAAGACATTCCATCTCCTAACATTCTGTTTCATCCTTCACAAGATCAGAAAAAAGAAATAAGGTGGAACTATGCAGATAAGGCTTATTCCTCAGTGGTGTCCTTATATTTGTCTTTCAGCTGACAGTAGACAAATCTACACAATTTGTATTTTTCTTTAACCATAATGGACAAAATGTTTCTTTCTACTGCTCATGGAATGAACTGTTGTGTGAGTAGTTGAGCATTTTGGAAGCTGCACAAGGGGGATTCACCATCTCCTTGAATGTGAAAGCACCACTATTTTAAAGAGAGTGATCTCCAGTTCATGTAACTACAAGCTGAAGATCATATGGAGCACTTAAACCTTTAAATGTTCCACCCCATAACTGCAACTAGGATACTGGTCAATAAATTTTAGTTAGTATATAACAGCAATAACAAAGCAATAGATCCCTAACAAACTACAGCTAAGCAACTAAAGTTGATTTAATACACATTCTCTAGTTTTCTTTGTTAATCATTGGCTGAAATCTTGTTGCTTAGTATTGTAAGTAGTACTACAGTAGAACATTACTTTCTTATGCTTGAATTTGTCTAACAACTTCATTCGGACGCTTTTATTCCCTACTGTTTGAAGTAATAAGGCTGGCACAAAAGACAGGGGTTTCTTAGTTGTTAGCTACTTGATAAAGTCTACCATTTTAAATGTTTTAATGTTTTTATGCAAAAGTATTTTTATGCTTTTGACTCTATCACTCATTTGTATTTTATTAATTTTATATTCTGTTCTGATAAACTGTATTATAATTATGTTTTTGTGTTTGTTGTAAACCACCCAGAGTGACCTTCAGCCAGATGGGTGGTACAAAAATTAATTAATTAATTAATTAATTAATTAATTAATTAATTAATTAATTAATTAAATAATTAAATAATTAAATAAATAAATAAATAAATAAATAAATATATAAAGCACGATAGCAGTTTTATGACACTAAAATCACACGCATTGAACTGCCCCAATTAAATGGGTGAATTTAAGCCGCCTAGAGTGGTCGTAACTGACCAGATAGGCGGGATATAAATGAATAAACAAAGAAACAAACAAAGAAACAAAGAAACAAACAAACAAACAAACAAACAAACAAACAAACAAACAAACAGGAGGCATCATTGGCTCCTTCACTTGTCTGTCATTTTGTAGGCAGTACGGGCTGTTTTATTTCAACTTGTGTTCTATTATTTTAACTGCTGCTTTATTATTTCTACTTTATTTTTTGGTTCTATTTACAGAAACCATTTTTCCTGAATTTTTTCCTGAATTCCTTGGATTGAAGTTAAATACTTCATAAACCTAAAAAGGATTTAATTTAAAGGTAGCTAAGGTTGAAAGAGCTCTCCATTTCCAAAGCTCCCCTTTCTTTCCACTAGCAAGGGTTGCACGACAGAACATTTTTCCAACAGCAACCTCTGCTATATATCACCAGTAGAAAGACACTCACATAGCAAATTGCAGCCATCTCATGCCGAGTATGAGCTTTTTCCACCAGTCCCTGTGCTTTGGTTGGACTAACTCCATGATCATAGACAGTAAATTTAGTACCCATAAGATTTGACCTAGGATTTAAGAACACAATTCAGATTAGGGCTTGACCTTGGACTAAGAAACAAACAGTAACTGAGAAGATCTCTTTTCTCTTGGTAATATGGCTGTCATTATACTTCTGTCTTCACCTAGGATTGCATTCTTATTTTCATGTCTTGGACAAAATATGAAAATCTGTCCATATCCTCTTTGCTGGAACCTGAATGACTTCAGTTTCCAGACCCTTCTCTATATATACAAATAACCATTTTTCCTACCTCAAACTATCTAAGCAGGTTAGGATTATCCATATAAATAGATACTATCACGAAGACCTCATAACAAACGCTGCACTGTGCAGGAAAAACCAAGTGTATGCAACTCAAGTTAAGATAGGCTGAGCTGTTTTAGTGTAGAATGAAAAAATCTGTCATGGTAGGTACCATGAACTTCTTTTTAGGATGGAAGTGAGCAAACTAAGGGACAGCAGCTCCTTTTCAGTGTAGTAGCTGAAAAAAGGGCAAAACAAAGCAGGTAGATTTGTAAAACCCTTTCTGAGGTTGAGGGAAAAACAAACCATGGAGATGCACATGGTTTTAAGTAAAAAAAAAAAAAAGCTTATTTTGCCCATTTTTTTCAATCAGATGGTTTTTTTGGAGGAACTGTCATAGTTCAGTGATAAAGGCATGTGCTTCACCTACAAAAATACCTAAATTCAATTCTTGGCAACTTTAGTGCAAAAAGAAGGGGGCGGGGAAGTCTGCTCGAGACACTAGTTAAAGAAGTAAAGAGTGCTGAATAAGCTGACCCATGATCTGACACCACACTGTTGCTTCTACTGTTTATGTGTTCACTTTGTGAGGCTTACCTGAGTTTCCCGATAAAACTCTCCCCTTCTCTAGATAAATCTGTTGCATCAATTGAGATGAGGTAATTTGACGTTTTGCTCTTTTTCCTTTTCCTTCCCGCAAGAAGAAATACCTAACAGATATATTAAAAGAATTACTCAATCTTTTTTTTTTTGGGGGGGGGGAATCAAGAAATTCCTAGTAATTTTGTATTTTTAAAATTCTTTTTCTAGATTTTTATTTAGGTTAAAATTTAGAGGAACTAATAGCTAAAGCATTGTTATATAACCTTTACAACTTTACAACAAGGTGAGTTTCTTTATGCAGAAATATCATGTGTTCCAGACAGGTGATTTCGATGAGCGCAGATATTTGTGACATCTGCCAAGATCCACACTTACAACCTTGTTACTGCTACTAATTGGCAAGATAGTTATTATAATTAATTGTTCCAAATGTTGTATATCCAATTACTGATTACTTTTTAACAACAGGTATGTTGCTATTTTTTTTCTTATGGCTTTACTGCAGGCTAGGAATATGTCTGATTCTTATTGACTGAAATTCAGTTGCATAATTTAAGCCACCTACAGCTGATATTGTCATCAGCCATGGTGGTTTTTTGGAAATTAAAATTTTCCAATTTCCTCACCCTTCCTGCCCAGAGGTACTGAGGCTCCACTGGGATCCCCTTTGTTCTGAGGAAACTGTTAGGGGATGTGGGAGGGGGGCGTCTTTCTGAATATCATCACCAGTGATAAAAGTATCACAGCTGCATCAATTTTCAGAAATTAAAGATTCTCCCTTTTGTGCTTCAGTACAAAAGTATCCAACATTCTCCCCATGACGCAAGGGTTCCCAAGGAGGGGTAGGGGTGAGGGCAGGCAGGAATTCCTATGCAGAATAAATTATGCTGCAGGACTTGCACCATTAATTTAATATCTATCTTAATAGTGCTAATTTTTCCAGTCAGTGAATCTTCTATGATTACTAACACTATATCATTCTAAGCACACTGATCTTCTTTGATTAGAAAGCTAATCAAGGAGACTACTGTGGAATACAGGGAATACAGAGTGAATACAGAATGGGCGACCACTAGAGAATACAGAGGGCTGTACTATGACATTACATCTTATCCAGAATTAAATGTTAAGTTGTTCTCAGTACCTTTCTATTATCATCCCGTTCCAAGTGCATATAATAGGTAGGAAAGAGGCCTCGGTCCATCCCTTTCTTATCTCTGGTGATCCTACATTTCACTGTTATGCCACGAGGAGCAGGGCATAGTGCAAACTCCTCCAGGTTGTCTATTTCCCCCAGTTGTGCATCTGTCTGAGGCAGTTCCACACAAGAAGCACCTATTTCCTATGGAATAAGACATTTATTTTCAATGCAAAGTCAGAACAAAGAGCAACAAAAACATGTAAGTCACTCAACAGCCGGGCAAGTGAATTCTCACTGAGTACCAGTTCGAATGTTGCAAACCCTGCTCTATAGACTGAGGCTGCCAACTGTGGGCAAAGTGAGCATACGCCGTGTGACTTCATAGAATGTCAGCTACAACCATCCTGGATCCCTCTAGAAAGGTAGGAGAGAAATCAAATAAACAAATGTATTTGTAAGCAGTTAACAGTTTTCTCTTTGTAGCCTCAAGCACACATACAGAAAAACAGAGGCTAATGTATGTGAACAAGGCTTCAGGCATTGTAAAGGCCTGAAAAACTTTGCATTGCATCTATCGCCACTCTTCAAGGAGGCTAAAGAAGAAAGCTAAGTAGCTGCTCTACAAAAGTAGGTGTAAAGCTAACTCTGAGTTTAAAGAGAGAGAGAGAGAGAGAGAGAAGGGGGGGGTAAATACCATTTGCAGGGAAAAACTGTGGAAGTTACTCCAGTGGGATAAATACTGAGAACCAAGAGTTCATTGGTTGATGATGGCAAAAATAGGGTGCTGATGGCTCCATTACAGGCTCCTGTGAGAAAGGGTGACATTCTGCAATCCCACATAAAAGTGTTCTCTGCACCTGCAAAGTGGAGAGGAGTAGATTCTACATCTGTCCGAGGATCCAGGAACAATACCTGGGAGACTTGCTTATGATTGTGGCCAAAGTCTGAAACGCACTTTTGGAGAGAAAGAATTCTATCAGAATGAAGTGTCATCTTGTTCTGCAGCCAGATGCAGGTAGATAGAAGAGGAACTGAAACAGACTGCACTGAGTTTAATGGCATGAGATAACATGATAGCTACTAGGAAAGTTGTCTAAAGTTAAAGAATATGCGAGGCATGATGCAGAGGCACATGGGTTATGGACAGGCTGGTTTTCAACTGAAGAAGAGCCAAAGAAGAGTTTCTAAGTAAAAAATTCCTATTAAAAGTTGCAGATATACAAACTGGGCAGCTTCAATAGGGTTAATATTGAAACAGGCACAAGAAAACACAGATACATCGATAAACTTGGATATAGGTACAAGTCCAAAAAAGCAAGGCAGACATGTTTCCGCATTGACTTCAAAGTGTTAATGCTTACATATAAAGCCCTAAACGGTTTAGGACCTCGATACTTGGCGGAACGCTTACTCCCAACTAGTTCTCCCCGTGTCACCCACGCGAGCCAGGAGGTGAGGCTGAGGAGCCTGACGCTGAGGGAGCCCCGGAAAGAAAGAACTAGAAACCGGGCTTTCTCGGCAGTGGCTCCTCATCTCTGTAATAACCTACCTCCGGAGATTCGCGCTGCACCCTCGCTGGGTACTTTTAAGAACCAACTAAAACCATGGATGTATAGGCAGGCCTTCCCTTCCAGTTAATTCCTGTCCTCTTTCCTTTTTTGTAATCTTTATTTGATTTATTTTTATTTTTCCCATCTTATAGAATCATTTAATTAATTAATTGTTATAAATTTTTTAAGAACTTGTTATCCTTATGTTGTAAGCCGCCTAGAGTGGTTGAAATGACTAGATAGGCGGGGTATAAATACAATAAATAAATAAATAAATAAAAATAAATTGGGGGGGGGAAAACTGTGCTTACTGTAGCAGAGATTTGGCTGTTGGCAGAAGGAGGCCTCTGAGATTCTAAACAGGGTGAACGAGATCCTGACTTCTTCTCTATTTCTTCTTCCTCATCAGTATCCTCCTCATCAAAATTCATACTTCCAGAGATACCTGCCAAAATGAAATCAGAAAGTTAATCCTATCTTTATGAAAAAGGAATTATGAACACAAGGTACTGTATATCAATATCCTCCTGATGTTGTTTACATGTTCAAATCACTACAGGCAGAACCCTAGTGGTATTTGGGAAACATAATACCTCCATGTACATTTCACACAACACAATCTTCAGCTGAGGTGACTTCTTTCTAAGCAAACAGAGCTTTTCACTTGCTTAAGCAGGTAGAGAATATTTACTTACATGAACGGTAGAAGACTTGTACACATAATGTACTGTCTACAAGTGTAATTAAGACAAACAGGATGAAACTGCAATATTATTTCCCATTAGAACACCAAAATCTTTCATCGGTTTCCAAAGAACTAGCTGTGTTAGTCTAGCTCAGCACACTGGCAAAGGGGGGGGGGAACAAGGGAGGAGGACAGAATATATTGTAGCACAGTATCTGAGGATGTGGACTCCGAGCCATAAAAGCTCACACTGAAATAATATTATCAGTTTTTCAGGTGCTACAAGATTTTCTTTTTGCCAACATTTATGAATCACGTTAAGCATCCATGTGCCATACAAAACATATGGTGTTTTAATGAAATTTAAACAAAATCTGTTAGACTGACCAAAGCATCTTGGGAGATGTACTCCAAAAGAAGTTACTTTTCATATCTCTGCTTTTGGCAGGAAGTCCAGATTTTTCAAAAAGATTTAAAAGGGGGGGGGGGCTCATCCAGAAGCTCAGTATTAGATACTCAGTCTACAGAGTCTTATACATCTTCTTCTGCATCCGGGGTGAACAACTCTGCAATGTCTGGGGATAGTTTCACTCTCCAAAAGCCTGCCAAAAGATTATGTAAAACTGCAGTGTGCTGGTCAAAATTTAGTGGCAATCAGAAGTAGAATTTTTTTCCTCTTCCATTTTTAAGAGCAAAATGACTTTTCACACTAAAATGTGATGAACACCTTCTTCTATCTATTCTTCTATAAGGTAAACTATACTTCCCAAATGCTTCTGCAAGTGCAACTGTGTTCTAATTTCATTTAAAAAACTATTTTTGCTGCCTTCGATGGCAGCACCAGAAACTCCACTAGAAGATTAAAAAAAACAGAAAAAATAAAAACAAAGATTAAAAATATCATAACCCACAAACATCCTTAATCTACATCAATTTATATCTATGTCAACAGATTTGTTAGAGGTCCCTATGACACTCATTGAATAAAGAAGGAAGTGATGCAATGAAGGCAAGATCGGAGAGATGAAAGTTTACAGGCTTGCTTTATTTTATTACGTTGTTTAGTTTGGTGACACCAATGATAACATAATGTTCAGGAAAAAATTGTCAGGTTTTGAAACTTAGTATTCTCTGAACTATACTCTGACCTGACTGCTGAAATGTATGCTGATGAATTGGCTTTAGCTGCCTTATCTTTCTCAGCAAAGCCCTATCTAACAGTTTAATTGTCATCTCTCCATTCCTGTTCTCTCTCTCTCCTGTTTGGCCACTTCTCTGCTGAATGGTGACTCCTTCAGACAAGCCCCTAGGACAGTGATGGCAAACCTGTGTCACGTGTGCCACAGCTGGCACACGGAGCCCTTTCTTCTGGCACGCGAGACATAGGTCGCTACTCCCCCCACCCCCCTTGCGCAGCCAAACCTCATGAGGCGGCTGCAGCCAGGATTCCCCCTTCCGCCGCCACTTCCGGGTTCTCTGGGTCCATCACCATGATTCCCCCTTAAACCGCCACTTCTGGTTCTGGTCTTCCAGGTCAGAGTCCATATTGCAGCGGCAGCACACCACCTGCTGTCTCCCCCCCCCCCATTTTGGGCATGCAAACCCAAAAAGGTTCGCCACCCCTGCCCTAAGAGACTGTTCATTCCTCTCACTGTCATAATTCAAGATGGATTTCTTAATTAATATATTATTTATTTGAAAAATAATTTTACCTCAACTTTTTACTCTGTAGGCTCAAGTTAGCTTACAATACAGAACTGTTAACAGCTACAGAAGCTTAGTAAATACAAAAAGAAATTATTTAAGCAAATGTCTGAGATAATGAAAAATTTTCCTGGCACCTATGTAATACAAATACTGTAGTAGCAGTGTATTTCAAAGATCAGATGCCATCACAAACACTGTTCAGACTTTATATGATTGTTTATTGGTTCAGTGCTTCATGAGTTTCATGTGAAGTGAAATGAATACTTCTTTCAGAATACTGCTTTTATGTTGGGAATTCTATAATTGATGAAATTTTATGAAATACTGTATTTGAAGGCTTCAACAATAATGTTGCATTTCATGGCCAACATGACAATCTTGAGACTATCTCAGCACATCATGAGCTCCACATATTTGGCCAGTTACACTTTTGATCTATATTTTTGGAAAAAAGAATAGTAATCTATAAGTGGATTTTCTATGACTCAGTCTCAAAGTTGGATACATTTCTCAGTGAAATTTAGATTTACAGTTGTATTCTTCTCTGCAAATCTAAATGACCAGTTAAGTTGTCCCCACCAGAAGAATGAGGAAATACAGCGGATTCCTGTATACTCTTGGGGAGTCTCTGGTTGACAGGGATGGTGGTCCTGCTGAATCCCTCACTGTGTAATTGAAAAGAATACTTCCAAAGCACCCTTTCCTGTGCAGCTGAGCACAGGAGACAACTTTCTGGAAGCTTGGGGAGCATCACTGCCAATCTCCCAACTCACAAATGGCTGTTCTCTGCTGCTGAACTGTCATATTTGAGGGGGGACAGACATAGTAGGGAGGTATAGTATGACATTTGTTTTCACTTTAAAACATGGTGCACAAGCTTGTTTTAATCAGCACTTCTGGTAAGTTTTGGGGAGGACCAGTCAACTTCAAGAAAAGGCAAATGCTCTTCATACACCTTTTAAAAAGTGAAGGTGTTTAGGTTTCCAGATTTTGTCATTTGTAGAGATGAAGCTATGAAAGTTGGATGATGAAGAAAGGTGACAGGAAGAGAATCAATTCATTTGAAATGTGGTGTTGGGAAATGTTTTGGTCACATGTTGCTTGCCCTGTTCTAGTGCACAGCTAGCTTGTTGACCAGGGAGCTGGCCATCAATAAAAATGGGAATGAGGTAACGGGAACAACGTAAGTGCTCTGAATCTCACAATGGATATAACCAAATACTGTATGCATTAAAGGTCATTATTGATCCTATTTTGTGGCAGTGATGAAGAAATCCTTTCTCTACCAACACTGCAACAGCTTTTCTGGATGCCCAAATATATTACAATTTGACATAGGAAATGATCCACAAAGACAGGATATTATTTTATACACAGAAACAGCTGATGATCCGTTGTGGGTACAAGCACAAACAACCACTCTTGAAAATACAGTAAGTGCAATTTGCAAGACAAAATCATCCTCTGTCTATGTATGTATGAACCATTTACTATAAACTTCACTGTTCTGTCTCACTGGGTCTATAGTTTGTATTGTGTTTTGAATTACTAAATTACAAGTAACCTAGCATGCACAACTGATTTCTTACTAAAATTTAGGATACAACATATGATTATTTAACTACAAGGAAATAGTTTGTGGTGGTGGCAAATCATGCTCATATGGGGGAAGTAGTAGAAGTGACAGCAAACGGCCTATTGTTAGCATGTACTCATGGCCCACCGAGTTCTGCACTTCTAAAATTTCAATATCCATAATTTGTAGCAGGAAAGAGACACACTGGTACAGACAGAATAGATTCACCCATCATGAGTCAGTGGCTGCTGGAGAAAACAGAAGGACTTCATGAGTGGAAGAGGCGGGGAAGGCAACTTGTTAGTCACTTGATTTTTTCAGAAGCTGCCTGATGTGGTAGCCTCACTCGCCCGGGAGAAAAATGAAAATACATCATTCTATCAATTCCCCCAGAAGAAGCATAATAAGTTCTTCTTTGGCAAGTGTTGTGACGGAGATGGCGGCCACAGCAAAGGCACTAGTACCGGTAGGTATGCCTTCCAGTGCCTCACATCCCTCTGTTATTATGAGGAAACAACTAAAACACAATTCAGCTGAAAGTGTGCTCACACATCTGAGAAGACAGCACCAGACTGTTCTGCTAAAACAGATAAATCAGGAGGTAAGGACAAGGTTGATGTGACATAATAAGCACTGTACATGGATTCCCTTCCTCCAGGTTTTCTCTGTTCCAGAAGCAGTAACATTTGGTAGAGCAATGTAGAAGACACAGATTTAGCCAAATACAGTGGTGCCTTGCAAGACGATGTTAATTGGTTCCACGAAAAAAGCTGTCTTGCGAAAACATCATCTTGAGAAATACGCTTCCCCATAGGAATGCACTGAAATCTAATCAATGTGTTCCAATGGGGGAAAATTGTCCTCTTGCGAAAACCGTCCATAGGGGAAACCGTCTTGCGATTCACAGATCTCGGTTCCCTTCTCCTTCCTCTTTGCAAACTTAGGTTTGATCTGTCTGGGTTTGCTCTGTTTCCTTCGGGACATGCTGGATGCGAATCATTATTGTTGTTGTTGTTGTCGCTGCTGCTGCTCTTTTTGTTGTTGTTTTGGGTGCACTGAGAGTGTGAAAGGGGGTGGGGAAATGGGAAGTAGGGAGGGGGCAGAGAGAGAGAGAGATTGCGAGAGAAGAGCAAGTCAGTGTGCCGGTTTCATAGACAGGAGCTGATGGGAGATGACAGGAAAAGAGAAACACAAGGAGCCGAGCTGTGCACGCGTGCGCCTGAAAAGAGAAGCAGAGAAACGGGGGGGGACAGGGTCTGAAGGATTGAGACTGAGGGAGCGAAAACGGGGGGGGATTGAGACTGAGGGAGCGCATGAGGGAAATCTGGCGAGTGTATGTACATGTGCCTGTATTGTGGGGGTCAGTTAAGAGTGAGGAAGAAAGAGGGAGAAGAGCAGAAAGAAGTGGGGCAGGGAGGGAAAGCAGGCAGGAGGGACGGAGGGAAGGAGGGAGGAAGCGCGCTTTCTCTTTCTCTCTCTCCTTTGCTCTGGTTTGCTTGCTCGCTCGCTCTCCGGTGCCTGTGCAGATGTCGCTCTTCCAGCCATGCTCCCCTCAAGACTTTGCAAGTCACAGACCCAAACATCGTCTAGCGAAAATCGCCCATAGGAAAAACTGTTTTGCGAAGCGCTACAGCAATCGCAAAAAGCCACCGTCTTGTGGATTAATCGTCCTGCGAGGCAATCATCTTGTGAGGCAACACTGTACCTGCCATGAGACAGTAGTTTCCAGTGCCATCACAGTGACATTGATGAGATGTTGGCATTGGACAACCAACCATTCATGTTAGTAGATACTACTGTATATGGTTTACGCTTTTCATGGAGTGTTTGCTGTTCTCCACTACATACTGCAACTGCACATCACTTTTAGCAGAACACAGAACTTGACTCCCTCCCACACTGAGCAGCAAATCATAAAGAGTTGGCTCAGCTGTGGTAGGCAGAGCCATAGATTGTATTTCATCTCTGATATCTAGAATATTCTGGGTGGATGACCCTCCTGCATGTCTCTCTCTGTGCAGTGGCAGGAGCCTGTAGAGACAAGGACCATCACAGTAGGGGCTCAAAAGCTGAATTCCAGTAATAGAAGAGGCCCATTGAACCAATGGAACTTACAGAGGAGATGACTCACCAAATCCCCACTGAGTCTAGTGCAATTTATTACCTGCATTTCAACCAGAAGGTAGTGTATCGGTGGATCCTCTTACATGCTATGGTCAAAGGCCAGTCCCACACAATGTCAAAAATAAAAGCAGCCAATAAGAAGCATGGCTGATCAGTAGAGCACTGCTGTTATATGCTTAACACGTACAATATAATAAGCTTGCTTTCCAAGCAACATCTACATCACTCTTTATCGTGGTGGAAATGGACCGTGGTAATATGAGTCATAACCCTGATCGCCTCTGCAGCACTTAGAACTAATTGTGCTATTAATTTGATTTTTACCTTTAAAGTACCAGACAATAATAATACAGTAATTGTATGTCATCAAGTTAATTCTTACTTATGACAACCCCTTCTAGAGTTTTCTAGGTAAAGAGTGCACAGAAGTGGTTTACTCTACTTTTCTTCTGGAGGCATTCTGGGAATGTGCAGCTTGCTCATGGCTACAGAGGCCGGGCACATCCCCTAGGAGGCACCATGGGGAATCGAACTGACAACGTATGGCTCCACAGCCAGATACCCAAACCACTGAGCTATGCAGTCAGCCCCAGGCATCTGATATCACCTGTGTATTAATTTGAAATCACTTTCTACTTCAATGCTGATTTTATCAAAGCTTCAAAGGGAATAACTTGTCTAGATAAAGTGGTGCCCCGCATAGCGACGTTAATCTGTTCCGGATTAATCGTCGCTATCCGGAAACATCGCAATGTGGGTGGGAAAACCCCATAGAAACGAAGTTTAATGCGTTCCTATGGGGCAAAAACTCACTGTTATGCGAAGATCCTCCATAGCGCTGCCATTTTCGCGCCCTCGGTAAGCGAGGAAATTGCACGAAAATGGTTGCAGCGGCCATTTTGGAACCGCCGATCAGCTGGCCGAAAATGGGGCCGGCGCTCGGGCAGGAGGGCAGGGAAAGGCTCCCCTGCCCTCCTCCCGAGTGCACGCCAGCTTTTCTCCGGAAGCGCTTCTCCGGGAGAAGCCCAAACGGCCGCCCGTCAGCTGTTCCAAAAGGCGGGCATTTCGGCTGCTCCTGGGGAAGCGCTTCCGGAGAAAAGCCGGCGTGCGCTCAGGAGGAGGGCGGGGATCCCCCGCCCTCCTGCCCGAGCGCCGGCCAGTCAGCCGGCTGAAAAAGGAACAGCTGACGGCCGGGTGTTTGGGCTTCTCCCGGAGAAGCGCTTCTCCGAGAGCAGCCGAAACGCCCGCCTTTTGGAACAGCTGACGGGCGGGCCTCTGGGCTGCTCCCCGAGAAGCGCTTTGCCGTGAGCAGCCCAAACGCCCACTGGTCACCTGTTCCAAAAAGCGAGCCTCTGGGGATGCTCCCGGGGAACTGCTTCCCCGCGAGCAGCGCAAAGCCTGTTTTTTGGAATAGCTGACCGGTGGGGCCTTTGCGATGATCGTGGGAGAGCGCTCCCCCACGATCATCGCAAAGCGATCGCTCTTGCAATGGCAAAAAGTCCATCAGAAAGCGATTTCATCGCTAAACAGAGTGATCGTTATGCGAGGCACCACTGTACCTGTTTTTGGGTGGCTGGTAGTACTGTGAAGTGTGTTACTCGAGCTATTTAGAACCAAGAACATTTCATTCCTTCTAGCTGGTTTGTTATTTGTACCATTGTTTTTGGAGTTTGATTAATAAAAAGACCATGCAATCAATAAAGACCTTGACCTTTCCATTCCATAAATTGAACACTTCTCACTGTCCAAAAAGAAAGAAAAAAGGGGGGGAAGAATAGAAAAGAGAAGGGTGCATTAGAAGGAGGATAAGTGGAAAGGGGGAGGAAATTAATAATTTAATCCAATTTAGGCATATTACAAATGTGTTCTTTTAGAAGGGAGCTGGAACTTTTGGAAACTTCCCCAAAAAAAGGAGTCCTTCTTACTTGATATGTCTCTAGAAGTAGTCAGGTATGTCATTCATCATCCCAAATAATTCATAATTCTAATGTTATGTGATAGGGAAAAACTTCCCTATTTATTTTCTCCACACCACATATAATTTGAAATACTTGTATCATGTCTCACATTATTTACTTTCTTCTAAAGCTTGATATCAACAAACATTGTAACCTTTTATCACAGGGGACTTTTTCAACATATTTATCATTTTGGTTGCTATTTTCTGCGATATTCAGTTATAAACATGTCATACCTCTTCTTGGATCATTTGCATCTAAATTAGCTGTTATAGTCACGCCAGTACAGCAAAGTAGCTCCACTGTCAATTTATACACACACACACACACACACAGTGGTGCCTCGCATAGCGATCGTTCCGTATAGCGACGAAATCGCTTAGTGACACTGTTTTTGCGATCGCAAAAGTGATCGCTTTGCGATGGTCCCTATGGGGAAATTTCGCTTTGCGATGATTGCAGAGAAGTGATCATCGCAAAGCCCCCATTTTCGGCCAGATGATTGGCAGTTTCAAAATGGCCGCCCACTGTTTTCAGGCACGGATTCCTTGCTTTAGAGGCACAGAAAATGGCGGTGCTATGGAGGATCTTCGCTTAAAGGTGAGTTTTAAGCCAATAGGAACGTATTAATCACGTTTTAATGCGTTTCTATGGGCTTTTTATTTTCGCTTAGCCTCAACAGCAAAAGTAATTCAGATGTCAAAAGAGTATCTCAGAAAATAAATTTGTATGCATGCTGGTAGAAGGACAATAGAGGTGGAACTAATCTTGCCTTGGCCCCAGGCCACCCAAAGCCTGGGAGCAGCTATGGTGGTACAAATAGAAAAGCCTCTTCCAAAAATCATAAAACCTCGACAGTCTTGTTTGAGGGATACATTCTTACACGTATCCTGGCCCTCATTGTCTGGGTTCAGATATCATAACCAACACTGTTCCATCAACCTGGTTATGCAGTGGCAGGCAGCAGAACTCTGATACAAAGGAATCACATACTCTCTAACAACCATCCCCAGTCAGTCGTCTGACTACCGTGTTTTAGACAACTCCACCCCATGGAACAGAAAAGTCTCTGCTGTTCTTTTGCCTTCCCATTTCTCTTTACAAGGTAGGCAATGCAACGTGATGGCACATAACAACAAAGCTGAGATGGGTATTCAATGAGTTTCTCTGACAACAGTTATTTTGCTACTCTACTGTCATGTTTGAAAAAAGAAACTCAGTGCAATCTGAACAAATCCACATTCAGATCTCACTCTTTGTTACCAGATCTCACCTCGTTTTTGCAAGATATCTTGTAAAGCCACCTTGGAGGCTGCATTTGTTTGAGTTTCCTCAGTCTTTTCTGGCATGTTGTCTTCCTCAGTTGAGTAGGATCCAACTGAAATGATCTGGTGTTTGTCTCCCAATTCCTGTACTGCCGGTTTCAGAAAGATAGCAGGCCCATCAATGCCTGTAAAGACAAATAAGTTTTGAGTTTTCTTTTTCCATGTGCTCATTTATTTATTTACACGCTTGAGTTAGCCATTTAGGAGGTATAAACACCTTTAAATTAAAATAAAATTTTCAGCTGTCAAACCTACAGTTCAGTGCATTCCAATGGGGGGGGGGAAATTCACCAAAAACTAACGAAGAGTCAGAACAAAGCCAAATCAAGTTTGCAAAGGTTTTACAGGGTGCACTAACGATTCCAAGCATTTTAAACAGTTTTTGAACATTTTAAGACACTTTAAAAATAGCGAAAACCACTGAAATGCACTGAAACCTATTCAATGCATTCCAATGGGGGAACCGCGTTCGCTTAGCAATGTTTCCTATGGCGATTTTCGCTTAAGGACAGTAATCCATTCCCATTGGAACGGTTAGCTGGTTTTCAATGCATTCCTATGGGAAATGGTGTTTCGCTTAGCGATGTTTTCCCATAACGATTTTTTTTGGGGAACCAATTAACATCGTTAAGCGAGGCACCACTGTATTTCAAATGTCAATGCATGTTTAGGACAAGGTGGAACATTTTTGCTGATCCTAGGCACTCTAACCTCTCCCTATGGATCTGGCCATAAAAGGCTAAGGCACAATGTGAAGCACAGAGAAAAATCTGCAGGCAAACACAAATGGTGACATTGTATGATACTGTACCTGGTGATGAGATGCATGCATTGAGGCAATAGTTTGAATTTACTTTGTGGAGTGTGACTAAACAAGAAACAGCCTTTATTCATGTCTCAAATTGGCAGTTTCTATATCACTTTGGGTTTCTAAAATAAAACTTATTGTTACATTTAATTTTATCCTATCCCCTCATTTTTTAAATATACTATCCAAAATGTTATTGGCTGCGTATGCATGCATAAGTTATATTTCCCTGAAATCCACTGAGCAAGTTCTGATAAATGCAAAGACTTTGAGATCACTGAAACTTATTGGACCATTTTCTCAACTTCCAAATCAAACTCGTGGATGGTGCAGATCTCTACATGTTATGAGAGCACACTGGATTTTGCCAGAGGAAAGCAAGGAGCTAGCATTTATATCATGGAATGATCTACCAATGGAAGCATTGGTATGACTGCAGGATCTGCACTTTCCAGATACCAGTTTGCTATTAAATTTACTTAGAATGTGAGTCTAAGGTTCAGGCACTCTAGAAAAGCACCTGAAACGTGGTGAGAGCTGGAAAGAACAACTATCAGGTGGGTCCACAATCAGTTACAGAATTATATTCAGAGAGTGCTTATCAATGGCACCTTCTCAAACTGGGAGGAGGCAACAGGTGGAGCACCACAAAGGCTCAGTCCTGGGTCTGGTGCTCTTCAACATTTGTATTAATGACCTGAATGAGGAGGTGCAGAGAATGCTTATCAAATTTGAAGATGATACATAAATGAATAGCTAATACCCTGGAAGATAGAAATGAAATTCAAAAAGATTTTGATAGGCTTGAGCACTGGGCTGGAAACAACAGAATAAAATTTAACAGGGATAAATGCAACGTTCACCACCTAAGGGGAAAAGACCAGACATATGGGGGATACTTGGATTAGTAAGACTACGTATGCACAAGAAGTATCTTGGAATTCTTGTTGATTACAATCTCAATATGAGCCAACAGGGCAAAAAAGGCAAATGCTATTTTAGGTTGCATTAATAGATACATAGTTTTCAAGTTGGTGAAGTAATAATTCCCCTCGATTCAGCACTGGTTAGGCCCCATCTAGAGCACTGTGTCCAAATCTGGACACCATACTTTAAGAAAGATGCTTATAAACTAGAACAAGCTCAAGGAGGCCAACAAGGATGACCTAAGGTCTGAAAACCCAGTCTTAAGAGGAAAGACTGGAAAAACTGGTCATGTTTAACCTTGAGAACAGAAGACTGAGGGGAGATATTATAGCAGTTTTTGATAACCCCAGAGTGCAGGACACATAATAATGGACTCAAATTACAGGAAACCAGATTTCAGTTGAATATCAGGAAAAAAACTCCTGTTAGAGGAGTATGACATGGAACCAATTATCTTGGGAAGTAGTGCTCCAATGCTGGTGGAATTGAAGAGAAAAATAGACAACTATCTGTCAGATATACTCTGATTTAGACTCTGGCATCAACAACTTTACTGACTCCTTCCAACTCCATGATTCTATGATTCCAAAAGCTGTTTAAAAGCTCAGTGTAGTCATTTCTGGAGCTTAGTGCCACTACTTCTCAAGATGTTGAATTTGTATAAATTAACATTCTTCAACAACCAACTAGTATCAGTTAGTCAGTTAAAAGTGGGCTCCACCGAGAGAAAATTCAAGCCACCAGTCATAAAGCTGGGCATGTCCTTTTCAATCCTGCAAAATATCCAGCTGTGCACTTTGCTAAGTTTTGATTCTAGTATCTGAAATTATTTAATACTACAGTGGAATGCCATTTCTCCTGATTTGGTAGTGGTTATTTTGAGTGTTATTAAAAGTGGGAGAGTGTTTTATCAATATAAACATTCTACTCACCATGGAGAACCACATTGGTACAGGCATGGGCAGAAGGCTCAACTAAAGGTGCCTGTTCTTCCCCCACTTTGGATTTAAACTTGCATAATTTTGCTTCTGGATTAGGCTGCACCATCAAGGGTTCAAGACGCTTTTTCCTCTGCTTCTTCTCTAGAAGAGCTCTCTGCCAATGAAGAAAATCATATACTTATGACAGTCAAGGAATCATTCCCTTAAAACTCTAGCAGTTAGTTTTGTGGTTCAGATTATGAAATAGCAGTAAGCCTTCTTCAAATCAATATATTACAAAGCAAATCTAATGAATATTCTATTACAGAGATGGACATTTAAGGGCCCCTATCAGATAAACCACGGGCTGCATAGCTCAGTGAATTAGGTATCTGGCTGTGAAGAATTAATTCTATTTAAAAAAACTTTAATTTAGGTATGAACATTTTCCTAAAAATTTTATAATATTCCAACTCATCCATTCCTGGAGTTTTTCCTACTTTCAATTTATTAATTATTTTCTCTATCTCCTTTTCTCTAATTAGTTGCTCCATTAAATCTCTACTCTATCTTGAAATCTATTCTCCATATTTTACTCAATATAATTCCTAATTCTTTCCAAACAAAGTTTCCCTCCACTATATAACTTTTGTTAAAAATCTTGAAAGACTTCCCATTTTCCTTCTACAAATTATGCCTTTTGCCCCTTTCATTCTTAAGTATTGCAATAAAACTCTTGATTTTTTTAACTTCCATAGCCCTGGCCAACATTCTTGAGTTTTTATAATTAAATTCAAAACATTGTCTTTTCAAGTATATTACACATTTTTCTGAATTTTCTCCATTTCAATATTCTCTAATTCTTCCCTTTTTGCTTGTATCTATCCTTATCCACCATATATTTTCCCTCCAACAACCTTATTTCTTCCTCAACCATTCTCCTATGTTTTTCTTGTTGTTTTGGACTACAAATCCCAGAATCCCCAGTCTGCATTGCCAATTATAAAGGACTGTTAATAGTGAGTCAATTTAACTTAACCTCTAACTAGTCTGGTATGGTGACTGCCATGTCACTATGTGGCTCTCTCTGCTCCCAGCCAAACAGGAACTACATAATTTGACACAAGGCGATGGGAGAATGAACTAGGAGGTGATCAGTGACCTTCTGTCTACAGAAATAGGGAATGACAACAGTTTTCTGCATGATAATACTTTAGCCCTTTGTGCAGAATGCATTGAATCCCAAAGTATTCTGAAACGTGGTTCCTTACCACACATCTATCCTGGCTATCTTAATGATGACAATCAGTACTACACTTGAATATGCTCACCCAGTTATTCACCATAACTGTGAAGATTTATAACTACATAAATGTACACAGCTGTAGCAAGGGCCTTATCTGTGGGCTCTGTCACCTGCTCTCTTTCCCCACTATAGCAGTGAAAAGCTGCTGCCATTTTGTGGATATGATTTACCTGATTTTCTAGTTTCAGTTGCCTCAGTTTCAATGTTTCATCCTCAAAGCTAAAAAAGAAAGAGAAGTCGTAAGTATTAACTTTTCTAGAAAAATTGAAACACGCAATAAGATTACCATAACAAATGGAAAAACAGCACATTTTTGGCAATTATCAAACAGTTTGGTTTTTTTTTATGTTGGCCACTAGCAAATTTTTTCCCCTCAACTCCACTTAAATTCACTCAATACATTACTACTTCCTAAAAAAGAAAATCAACACGAGAGTTTTGTGGTACCTGAAAGACTGAAAAATATTATTTGGCACACATTTTTAATTGCTTTATCAGATTTAACAGACATAGATAAGATTGTTTGAAATTTCTAGTAGAGGCCAAAATGTATCAGATAATTATGGTGAAGAAGGCTCTTAAAAAGGAACACAAGTCTACCAACATATAGGCCACAATAATTGATTATAACAGTTATACTCACAGGTACAGCATTTCTGATGTTAGGAAAAATTGCAGGAGAGGTCTAGCATATTCCTATTGCTTTTAGAAATGGAAAACTACACTAAACACACCTTGGATTGACACTCCAAACCAATTATTTTGTTTCACGTGTCTATTATTTCACCCATTGTTAAATACAGTATTTCATTGAGCTATGGTAGGGATAGAAGTATGTTTCTTCTTTATTTCAGATAATAAAGGCCTAGTTCGTATCTAAAGTACAAACCCTTGGGTTCAAGCCAAAGGACAATGGGTGGACATCTTTAGTGGAGAAGTGGGCAACCCTCTTGGAACCCTCCAGCAGCAGCAATACTCATCTAAAACCAGCTGCAGATTTCCCCACATCTTCTCTCATCCCCCCCAAAAAGATCATCATTCATTCATTAGGCATCCTTCAGTCTTGAAAGATTATGCTAACGTGCTCTGTATGGAGGACTTGGAACAGCGTCTAGTGTAGCTGAGAAGGCTAATTCAAGAGTGAAAATCCCTTCCGCACTGATGACAAGTGCAATCTGTCCCCCGTCCAGCTCCCTGATTTTGGTGAGTTCGGGACTGCCTCTTTGCCTTGGCCTGCTGGACAAGGGTCTCTTCAAATTGGGAGAGGCCATGATGCAGCGCCTGCCTCCAGGCTGAAAGTTTAGATGTTAGGATTTCCCATCTGTTGAGGTCCATTCCTAAGGCCTTCAGATCCCGCTTGCAGATGTCCTTGTATCGCAGCTGTGGTCTCCCTCTGGGGCGGTTTCCCTGCACCAATTCTCCATACAGGAGATCTTTTGCAATCTGACCGTCAGCCATTCTCTCATGACATGCCCAAGCCAATGTAGACATTGCTGTTTCAGTAATGGATGTATGCTAAAAAATTCCAGCTCATTCTAGGACTACTCTGTTTGGAACTTTGTCCTGCCAACTGATACCAAAAATGAATCGGAGGCAACGCATATGGAAGGTGTTCAGCTTCCTTCCTGCCGTGCACAAAGAGTCCAGGACTCACTGCAGTACAGGAGTGTGCTTAGGACACAGGCTCTATAGACCTGGATCTTGGTATATGTCATCAGCGTCTTATTGAGCCATACTCTTTGTGAGTCTAGAGAACATGGTAGCTGCTTTCCCGATGCGTTTATCCAGGATGTCAGAGATTGTTGAGCCAAGGTACACAAAGTCATGAACAACCTCCAATTCTTGTATGGAGATGGTAATAGAGGAAGGTGAGTCCACGCCGTGGCCCATAACTTGTGTTTTCTTCAGGCTGATTGTTAGTCCAAAGTCTTGGCAGGCCTTGCAAAAATGATTCATGAGTTGTTGGAGGTCTTCAGCAGAATGGGCAACAATTGCTGCATCATCTGCGAAGAGGAAGTCCCGTATGCATTTCAGTTGGACTTTGGTCCTTGCTCTCAATCTAGAGAGATTAAAGAGCTTTCCATCTGATCTAGTCCGGAGATAGAACCTTCTGTTGCAGTTCCAAAGGCATGCTTCAGCATGACAGCAAAAAAGATCCCAAAAAGGGTTGGTGCGAGGACACAGCCTTGTTCCACTCCGCTTCGGATGTCAAAGGGATCTGATGTTGAGCAATCAAAAACTACAGTGCCTTTCATTCCCTCATGGAAGGACCAGATGATGTTAAGGAGTCGAGGTGGACATCCAACCTTGGGAAGTATTTTAAATAGGCCATCCCTGCTAACCAAATCAAAGGCCTTTGTGAAATCTATGAAGGCCACAAAGAGTGGCTGTTGTTGTTCCCTGCATTTCTCCTGCAACTGTCTGAGGGAGAATACCATGTCAGTGGTGGATCTATTGACTCGAAATCCACACTGTGATTCTGGATAGACTCTGTCTGCAAGCACCTGGAGCCTCTTCAGCACAACACGGGCAAGCAGCTTCCCTACAACGCTGAGAAGAGAGATGTCACGGTAGTTATTGCAGTCACCCCTGTCTCCTTTGTTCTTGTACAATGTGACAATATTTGCATCCTTCATGTCCTGTGGTACTCCACCTTCCCTCCAGCAGAGACAAAAGACTTCATACAGTTCAGTGGTGATGATCTCTTTACAGCACTTCAGCACTTCAACAGGGATGTTATCCTTTCTAGGTGCATTGCCGGAGGCAAAGGAATCCAAGGCCGCTTTTATTTCTGCTAAGGTTGGTTCACTGTCCAACTATTCCAAGACAGGCAGGCACTCAATGTTCTTTAATGCTTCTTCGGTTACAACATTCTCTCTGGAATATAGCTCAGAGTAGTGCTGCACCCAGCGTTCCATCTGCTGTGCTCGGTCCTGGATGATCACACCTGTAGCAGACTTCAAGGGAGCAGATTTCTTCTGTATTGGACCTAAAAACCTGCTTGATACCGTCATACATTCCTTTGATGTTACCTTGCTTGTTGACATAATAGGTATGGTATTCTCCCTCAGCCGTAGTGTTGCCTGAAGCCACCTGGACTACCCGGCCAATGAGGAGCCGCTCAAATGCCCGAAAGGCCTTGGAGTGCGCCCCCCAAGCCCGTTGGGCTGGCATCCATGGTCACCTGCACATTCAAGACCAGAGA